TCACCATCACCAGTCAGTCTCCTCAACTGATTCTGATAATGATGCATCATCCTTACGACCCTTCATTACTTAAATAACAGAAAAGATGAAGTCTAAAAATATAATTAACAGACAAGATGAAGTCTAAAAATATACTTAACAGACAAGATGAAGTCTAAAAATATAATTAACAGATAAGATGAAGTCTAAAAATATAATTAACAGACAAGATGAAGTCTAAAAATATAATTAACAGACAAGATGAAGTCTAAAAATATAATTAACAGACAAGATGAAGTCTAAAAATATAATTAACAGACAAGATGAAGTCTAAAAATATAATTAACAGACAAGATGAAGTCTAAAAATATAATTAACAGACAAGATGAAGTCTAAAAATATACTTAACAGACAAGATGAAGTCTAAAAATATAATTAACAGACAAGATGAAGTCTAAAAATATAATTAACAGACAAGATGAAGTCTAAAAATATAATTAACAGACAAGATGAAGTCTAAAAATATAATTAACAGACAAGATGAAGTCTAAAAATATAATTAACAGACAAGATGAAGTCTAAAAATATAATTAACAGACAAGATGAAGTCTAAAAATATAATTAACAGACAAGATGAAGTCTAAAAATATAATTAACAGACAAGATGAAGTCTAAAAATATAATTAACAGACAAGATGAAGTCTAAAAATATAATTAACAGACAAGATGAAGTCTAAAAATATAATTAACAGACAAGATGAAGTCTAAAAATATAATTAACAGACAAGATGAAGTCTAAAAATATAATTAACAGACAAGATGAAGTCTAAAAATATAATTAACAGACAAGATGAAGTCTAAAAATATAATTAACAGACAAGATGAAGTCTAAAAATATAATTAACAGACAAGATGAAGTCTAAAAATATAATTAACAGACAAGATGAAGTCTAAAAATATAATTAACAGACAAGATGAAGTCTAAAAATATAATTAACAGACAAGATGAAGTCTAAAAATATAATTAACAGACAAGATGAAGTCTAAAAATATAATTAACAGACAAGATGAAGTCTAAAAATATAATTAACAGACAAGATGAAGTCTAAAAATATAATTAACAGACAAGATGAAGTCTAAAAATATAATTAACAGACAAGATGAAGTCTAAAAATATAATTAACAGACAAGATGAAGTCTAAAAATATAATTAACAGACAAGATGAAGTCTAAAAATATAATTAACAGACAAGATGAAGTCTAAAAATATAATTAACAGACAAGATGAAGTCTAAAAATATAATTAACAGACAAGATGAAGTCTAAAAATATAATTAACAGACAAGATGAAGTCTAAAAATATACTTAACATAGGTACAACTTACATTTTCAATATGCAAATACAAAATCTAATAAACTACATCTATACATTTGCCCAAATTTTAGTGGGGGATTTTCACCAAATTTTAAAGCAACCTGTTGCAACACAAAATCAAACAAAATCAATATTTTCATTGAAATTTGGACTTTTTTATTGGGGGAATTCAAAGCAACCACGAAAAAACAATCACTGTTTTATAAAATTAAAAAGCGGAATTTGGCAGACATTCATAGGAGCAAAACTCAGCTACATGAAAATGAGGGTTGTATATTTTTCCGAAGTTCTTTCCATCTTTGATAAATAAAGGTGTTACAGAAGAAAGATGGTTATTTGTGAGGAAATGGAACTTTTGGCATAAAAAAGCACTTTCATGATAAAGAATAAGACCAACAGATTATCAAATTGTTCAAACATCTTTATAAAGTTGTCCCTATTCTTTCACAGGAGTCTTTTGCCGGTATGACTTTACAAACAGAATAAATACCTGCATGAAACAGCTTAGCTGAAGAAATGTTTAGTTCGACAAAACACCACATTTACTACGTTCATGTAAATTCATTATCAGTATATGTGTGTTGGTAGAGGTTCACTAGGAACACACGACATCAACCAATTATAAATGTGCCTGACATACATATACTTATCAGCATCAACTAACCATTTAAATTAATCACTACTTATCAGCACCAACTAACCATTTAGATTAATCACTACTTATCAGCATCATCTAACCATTTAGATTAATCACTACTTATCAGCATCAACCAACCATTTAAATTAATCACTACTTATCAGCACCAACTAACCATTTAGATTAATCACTACTTATCAGCATCAAATAACCATTTAAATTAATCACTACTTATCAGCACCAACTAACCATTTAAATTAATCACTCCTTATCAGCATCAACTAACCATTTAAACTAATCACTACTTATCAGCATCAACTACCCATTTAAATTAATCACTACTTATCGGCATCAACTAACCATTTAAATTAATCCCTCCTTATCAGCATCAACTAACCATTTAGATTAATCACTTCTTATCAGCATCAACTAACCATTTAGATGAATCACTACTTATCAGCATCAACTACCCATTTAAATTAATCACTACTTATCAGCACCAACTAACCATTTAAATTAATCACTACATATCAGCATCAACTAACCATTTAAATTAATCACTGCTTATCAGCATCAACTAACCATTTAGATGAATCACTACTTATCAGCATCAACTACCCATTTAAATTAATCACTACTTATCAGCATCAACTACCCATTTAAATTAATCACTACTTATCAGAATCAACTAACCATTTAAATTAATCACTGCTTATCAGCATCAACTAACCATTTAGATGAATCACTACTTATCAGCATCAACTACCCATTTAAATTAATCACTACTTATCGGCATCAACTAACCATTTAAATTAATCCCTCCTTATCAGCATCAACTAACCATTTAGATTATTCACTTCTTATCAGCATCAACTAACCATTTAGATTAGTCACTACTTATCAGCATCAACTAACCATTTAGATTAGTCACTTCTTATCAGCATCAACTAACCATTTAGATTAGTCACTTCTTATCAGCATCAACTAACCATTTAAATTAATCACTGCTTATCAGCATCAACTAACCATTTAGATTAGTCACTTCTTATCAGCATCAACTAACCATTTAAATTAATCCCTCCTTATCAGCATCAACTAACCATTTAGATTAGTCACTACTTATCAGCATCAACTAACCATTTAATTTAGTCACCCCTTGCACTTCTGACCCCAACACCAAAAGCAGACCACTAAGCAGCGGTAACAGTCAGAAGACCGAGGCCTGATGCAAGGGAGACAACTCCTGTAAATGCATTACCATTATTGTTATGAGTCTCAAATGTAGCCTGTAGAAGGAATATGAAGAAAGATTATGAAACTCATCAGAATGGAAACCAAATTTCACCAGCAGGAAACAACTGAGGGGAAAATAGATCTTGACTGCAAAATGAAAATTAAATTTCATCTGTGGAAGGGAAACTAAATCTCACCTGTGGAAGGGAGGCTAAATCTCACCTGTGGAAGGGAGACTAAATCTCACCTGTAGAACAGTAGATCTACATCTCACCTGTGGACGGGAAACTAAATCTCACCTGTGGAATAGTAGCTACATCTCACCTGTGGAAGGGAAACTACATCTCACCTGTGGAAGGGATCAGCATCAACTAACCATTTAGAGAGACTAAATCTCACCTGTAGAACAGTAGATCTACATCTCACCTGTGGACGGGAAACTAAATCTCACCTGTGGAAGTGAAACTAAATCTCACCTGTGGAATAGTAGCTACATCTCAACTGTGGAATGGAGACTAACTCTCACCTGTGGAAGGGAAACTAAATCTCACCTTTGGAAGGGAAACTAAATCTCACCTGTGGAAGGGAAACTAAATCTCACCTGTGGAATAGTAGCTACATCTCAACTGTGGAATGGAGACTAACTCTCACCTGTGGAAGGGAAACTAAATCTCACCTGTGGAAGGGAAACTAAATCTCACCTTTGGAAGGGAAACTAAATCTCACCTGTGGAACAGTAGCTACATCTCATCTGTTGAAGGGTAACTTACTCTCACCTGTGGAAGGGAAACTAAATCTCACCTGTAGAACAGTAGCTACATCTCACCTGTGGAAGGGAAACTTAATCTCACCTGTGGAGGGGAAACTAAATCTCACCTTTGGAAGGGAAACTAAATCTCACCTGTGGAGGGGAAACTAAATCTCACCTGTGGAAGGGAGACTAAATCTCACCTGTGGAAGGGAAACTAAATCTCACCTGTGGAAGGGAAACTAAATCTCACCTGTAGAACAGTAGCTACATCTCACCTTTGGAAGGGAGACTAAATCTCACCTGTGGAAGGGAAACTAAATCTCACCTGTAGAACAGTAGCTACATCTCATCTGTGGAAGGGAAACTAAATTTCACCTGTGAAACGGTAGCTACATCTCACCTGTGGAAGGGAAACTAAATATCACCTGTGGAAGGGTCACTAAATATCACCTGTGGAAGGGAGACTAAATCTCACCTTTCAAAGAGAAACTAAATTTCACCTGTGGAAGGGAGACTAAATCTCACCTGTGGAAGGGTCACTAAATATCACCTGTGGAAGGGAGACTAAATCTCACCTTTCAAAGAGAAACTAAATCTCACCTGTGGAAGGGAGACTAAATACCATATGACATTGTAAAGAAAGGAACATAATTCTCACATACACACACAAACGAAATTTGCACGTATAAAATCTTCTAAAACCTGTCTAACTTATAAAGCATTACAGCATTCAGACAAACTTGTACTCTGTTTCATACCAAATGGCACAATTGACCAAATTTCATTATCATAACATACTGTTAGCCAAAACTTGCTGACTGTTAGATATGCTAGCATTACATTCTCCTTATCAACAGGTGGGGAATTTCGACCTCATTTGTGGGCATTTCTGAGTGCATCTATGACCGATATCATTCATGATCAATAAAAGTCGGTCAGGAGGTCAAGGTACCCAAATTAACTGACCAGTCATCAGGAGATTCAAATCAAATCACAAGACAAATATTCATGCACAAGGTATTTACCTACACAGACTGCCCAGCTATTCAGTGATGAGAACTGTATACCAGGTCCTTTCTTTGGCAAACAGGTACAGCAATGTCCTTCACACTAACGGCTGTGCTGGGGGTGTACGTACACGTGTGTCTGGGGGTGTAAGTACACGTGTGTCTGGGGGTGTACGTACACGTGTGTCTGGGTGTGTACGTACACGTGTCTGGTAACGTTCATTAGGTACCCATAGCTACATAACAAACATCTGCAGTACTGCACATCTGCAGTACTGCACCAGCACTGTTGTGTAAACACCCGAGCCTCCTCGCATTACTCACAGCCTCACGGACCTCAATGATGGACAGATTCCCTACACAAGGTTACCGTAAACAACAATATGACATCTACATTCAACAGCAGATCAACTCTGTCTCACGGGAAATTATATCATCACTTTATACAGTACAGGACTTTAAATGCAGCAGAAATATCTGTTGTGAACTGGTGTTTGGTGAAATTGATTTCCTCATGACATCACAGATGTATCACAGGTCTGTTAGTGTGTAATCAGGTTGTCTCCGAGGAATTGTCTTGTCCCTATGCTAGATGGAGATTTTGTCCTGTTGCTATTCTGGATGTGGACTTTGTGATCGGATCAATTTGCATAACATATATGGAGATTTGGAATTAACAATCATTGGATACTTCCGATTTGAAGACAAAATTAAATGACAGACTTCAAGAATCGAAGTGAGAGACCCTGACATAATGAAGTTTTTGGGAAGGCAAGTCCAAATTAGGGCATGAGTATCTGAGATGGGAGCTCTGTTCAAGATTCTCCTGGTTTATGGATTTAGCAAAATAGTCTCGTAAGTCTCTTCCTACACTACATGACCACTGGCCAATCTCCACCCAGAGTTGTCCTTCCTTACACTCTCTCACATCTACGTCAGCGGCTAAAAGTAGTCTGCATTATAATTAAGCCTCTTATCAAGTTTGTTCATGTGCCATCAAACCATATAACATGGCGGCCTTGGACAAGATCAACTACTTTCTATCATAAATTGAAATAAAGAGGGAAGAGATCCAACGTTCAGTCAACGGTAGTTTCCATAAAGATCAGCGAAGTTCAGCTTATCCCAGTTGATGGATTCTTTAAATAGAATTCACAAGTCCGCCCATAGAAGTAGTGTATCAATAATGAGAAGAGATGACTATGACAACATCAACTGCGATATCAGCAAGTTTAATACAGTGTTTACATGTTTCGGCCCACTAGGTGGGCTGTGTTCTGATGGCGGCCCACTAGGTGGGCTGTGTTCTGATGGCGGCCCACTAGGTGGGCTGTGTTCTGATGGCGTCCCACCTAGTGGGCCAAAACATGTAAACACTGGATTAAATGTACTGATATCGCAGTTGATGTTATCATGGTCACCTCTTCTCGTTAACATTAGTTAAGTGCAGCAGAATGTCACTTTTCTATCATATATATTCCAATGCTTTGACCTGTTTGTTCTTTAAAAAAAAATCTGGTTCATTTACATTTGTAATTTTTGTAAACATCTCTGGCTCTCATCATGAATCTTACATGTGCTAACAACGTGGTTTTGTTTATGTGACGTATGTAATTGGTTTTGTATTGAAGATTTGCTTACAGTAACATATCTGGGAGAAGTGAAGTTTTCACTCAATTGATTATGTAACACATTGCTGAATGACATAATATCTTTAGCAATATTTAGATTTTCAAGACTCTGTGCCAAGATTCTTGACATTCAACCACTGACAGAAGTGTTGGTGAGTACAAGGAAGGACAACTCTGGCCAGTCTGGGTAGACATAAGTGTAAGTGAGTACAAGGAAGGACAACTCTGGCCAGTCTGGGTAGACAGAAGTGTAAGTGAGTACAAGGAAGGACAAATCTGGCCAGTCTGGGTAGACATAAGTGTAAGTGAATACATCGAAGGACAACTCTGGCCAGTCTGTGTAGACATAAGTGTAAGTGAGTACAAGGAAGGACAACTCTGGCCAGTCTGGGTAGAGATTGAATCACTGGCCTGTATGTACAACCGTTATCATGGGTCAATCTAGACTTTATTCACTTCCTTTTATGGGTAATTTCCCCTACAGAAGAAAATTTCCCTGTTCTTTGAAATGCTCCCATGTGAAAATAGCTGTTTTTCTTCAAAATATTTCCCCTATATGATTTTTCTTTAAAGTCTTACAGTTTAAAAAGCATAATACTGCATAAATTCATTTACTTCACATGATTTAAACAAAAATTCTACAATTTCAGCTTAATATTGTTTAAAAATTGAAATATACTGCACATATGTATGTCAGACAAAACTTTTATCTTTTACCTTCATGACGATAGAGCCTTGCATCAAAATTTTGATTTCCCCCAAATCTGTAAAAAGGGTAGACTCCCCTAAATCCTAGATTGATTCCTGGTTATACAGATGAAGCCAGTACAGAAAATGTTAAATAGATGACTATGCTATCTACATGTATGATAAATTAACTCTTAAATTTAACTCCAGCTGAGCACAAGTAAATTTATCACAGCCTGCAGCATTGTCGCCTTTTCACATGCTCAAACAAGAGTCATCACCTCATAACCAGACCACAATAGAAACGACTCCATAAATATCTACATCAAAAATAGAAGTAACATTGAATAGTACAACATTAATGTTATTTAATAATAATCTGAACAGCTGTTGGGGAAGGTTCATGGACCACAACAACAACTACAATAGAATATATATAAACACACTCCGTGAATGTGAACATCAACTGTCCATTTTATATAAAACACACTCCGTGACTGTGAACATCAACTGTCCATTTTACAGTGATCTAAACAAGCTTGATGTATCGTTAATGGATAATAAAAACTGAGATTGTAGCTACACAATGAGATGTCTATACACTAGTTTACATACACTGACTATATATACAGATAAAACAGTACAATCTCCCATGTATATGATCCTAATATTACTGTACTATCTCTAGCTTCTATACCTAACTGTCCCTGCATGTAGTTTAGCTGTATTTCACAGCCCCAAACATCTAATTAATCCACTTCACGAGTACATTTAAACGCAAACTAGTATTCCACTAATGTGTATTTAACTATTAATCCACTCCAAGTGAACTGAACAAAATATATAAATAAATCCACTTCTACCGGTCCGCTTCCTGAAACATAATCTATTAATCCACTTCATTTAAACATGATCTATTAATCCACTTTATGTAAACAAAGTCTTAATTCGCTTCATGAAACATAATCTATTAATCCACTACATGTAAACATAATCTATCAATCCACTACATGTAAACATCATATATATTAATCCACTTCATGTAGACATACAATTAATCCACTTTGTGTAAACATTACCTATCTATTAATCCACTTTGTGTAAATATAATCTATTAATCCACTTCATTTAAACATAATCAATTAACCCACTACATGTAGACATAATCTATTAATCCACTTCATGTAAACATAATCTATTAATCCACTTCATGTAGACATTATCTATTAATCCACTTCATGTAGACATTATCTATTAATCCACTTCATTTAGACATTATCTATTAATCCACTTCATGTAAACATAATCTATTAATACACTTCATGTAAACATAATCTATTAATCCACTTCATGTAAACATAATCTATTAATCCACTTCATTTAGACATTATCTATTAATCCACTTCATGTAAACATAATCTATTTATCCACTTCATGTAAACATAATCTATTAATCCACTTCATGCAGACATTATCTATTAAGCCACTACATGTAGACATTATCTATTAATCCACCTCATGTAAACATAATCTATTAATCCACTTCATGTAAACATAATCTATTAATACACTTCATGTAAACATAATCTATTAATCCACTTCATTTAGACATTATCTATTAATCCACTTCATTTAGACATTATCTATTAATCCACTTCATTTAGACATTATCTATTAATCTACTTCATGTAGACATTATCTATTAATCCACTTCATGTAAACATAATCTATTAATACACTTCATGTAAACATAATCTATTAATCCACTTCATGCAGACATTATCTATTAAGCCACTACATGTAGACATTATCTATTAATCCACTTCATTTAGACATAATCTATTAATCCACTTCGTTTGTACTATGACCTATTGATTAACATTTAACAGATACATGCACAATGTCTCGAGTTGATGGATCTGTGAACATGTGCACGTAGCACAAGGAAATGCAGGGTGAGACATATGACCTTTGACCTTAAACAGTGACTATGACGTTGAGCGAAAGCATCCAGAGGTTCATCAAGGTCACTTACGTGTGTAGTAATAGTGAAATTAACCCTGGCACAAGTAAAGTATGAACAGACAGACAGACAGACAGACAATGGTTAACAAGTGTTTTTCTGTGTATGTTACGATCTGACTATAAAAATCTATTAATAAAACTGTGTTTGGTGTTAAACCCTGAACATCATATTGAAACATTACAACAAACTTCTAGCTTGTAGAGTATACGTACAGACCCTACTACAGGTGTACACACACAATCACTGCATAACAACCTGTCACCACTTGTCTATAATACAACTTCTACACCGTAGTTATCATTGTAGGTAATTAACTGGTAGAGTACAGACCCTACTACAGGTATACACACACAATCACTGCATAACAACCTGTCACCACCTGTCTATAATACAACTTCTACACCGTAATTATCATTGTAGGTAATAAACTTACCAGCCATACAACCACCCACTATCATCTAACGGGAAAAACACAAACATCAATCAAACTTAGCTGGTCGACATTTATAATTTGTCATGATCAGGATTTGTGTTTAAGCCCTCCCTTTATCCTTTTGAAGTTTGGAAATGAAAAGACTCTAAAATTTTCAGAATTCAAACAATGCATTATGGAAATGGATCCCATATTTAATCAGAACCGGTCCCCATCTATAAGATATGTACACCCAGCACAAACCATTATGACAATGTAAATTGAAATTTTGTATTGTATTTGATAAATTCAATGACTATCATCTGTGATGTTTAAACCCTTCGATGTTAATCATGAAGTTATAAAAAATAGGATCATCAGCATTTTATAATTTTAAAGACGTGTTGGCTGGAGTGAAACACATCCTGACTTATCTTCATATATGTATATATATATGATTGCAGACGGGTTCCAACATATTGTAATAAAATAAAGTACCACTCGGAAATCAAACAAACTCAAAACTGTTCAAATTAATGCTTGCAGTGCAAATATGGTAAACAGGCATGCTCAAATCTTTTGAAATATATTTCATAAAACATCAGAAAATGCAAGAGTATATGTCGTTTCCAAGATATATAAAAGTTTCTGGATCAAATATCACATGATTTGGCAATCACATGGTATATTAGGGGACATGAATATTTCCTGTGTAAAGATAAATCAGTAGCAAGCATACTTTGCCGAAGTAAATTTTTGGTAAATTTTGATGAGAATGGCTGAGTCTTTGCATCCTTCATGAGAGATATGAACGGACTAACTAGTACCCTCTAGTTAGATATCAGTTTGGAACCACAAAACCGTGCTTTTTTTAAGATATTTTACATTAACAGGAACTTGTCCAGAAGTACATATCCCCCCCCCCCCCTATCATGTGACGTGCATCCATCTTAACCCTTTCACCACTGTAAACCATAGTGGACTCATCCAGATGAATGTAAGGTAGAGTCTACTCAAGTTACCTAGGGCTGAAAGAGTTAAACCCGGTCAAATCTGGAGAGAGAAAGTATTTTGAAAACAACATATTGTAGATTTCTTAATAATTTTTAATAAATTTAATTAACAAAAGTCAAATCAATAACTTACCTTTGGACTGGCCATCTGAAAAGATCAAAAAAATATTTATATTAATATAAAATCAACATAGAAAAGGTTACTTGCGATCAACAGTCACAGTGATCAAAGAAAGTGTTGATACAGACTAATACAATCAAAAGGGAACATTTATAAGCAGCGGAATTTATCAGAGTTGGAAAAATATCCAATTTAAAAGAAATAGTCATGATCCCCACCACACAAATAAAAACAAGAGGCTCAGAGGGCCTGTATCGCTCAACTGGAAATGTTAGCAAAATTTTAGTTGAAATAGACAGATGTTGATGTACATGTATTACATGGTTAGTCAGGGATTATATGTATACACTGTATATGCAATTGGACAAAATCCTGTCATTCCTACAGGAAAAGGAGGATTTTGAAGAATTTGCTATGTTTCCACAATTGCGTCCCGCCCCTCTGCCCCAGGGGGGTCAGACCCACCGTTGATACAAAAGTAGTTCCCCGTCACCCAAGAATATGCTTTAGACCAAATATCTGTTTATACAAAATTGAGTTCCTTTTGCCCAAGGATGTTCCAGACCAAATTGGGATGAAATCCCTTCATCCCTATGGTAGAAGAAGGATTTTAAAGGTTTTACCTCTATTTCCCCTATTCGGCCCCGCCCCTCTGCCCCCAGGGGGGCCACATCCACAGTTTATACAAAATTCAGTTCCTTGGCCTTAGGATGCTCCAGACTAAACTAGGAGAAAATCCCTTAATCTCTACGGTAGAAGAAGTATTTTAAAGGTTTTACCTCTATTTCTATTATAAGGCCCCGTCCCTCTGCCCTCAGGGGCCACACCCACCGTTTATACAAAGTTGAGTCCCCTTGGCCCTAGGATGCTCCAGACTACATTAGGAGAAAATCCCTTAATCCCTACGGTAGAAGAAGTATTTTAAAGGTTTTACCTCTATTTCCCCTATTCGGCCCGGCCCCTCTGCCCCCAGGGGGTCACACCCACCGTTTATACAAACTTGAGTCCCCTTGGCCTAAGTATGCTCCAGACTAAATCAGGATAAATCCCTTAATCCCTACGGTAGAAGAAGGATTTAAAAGGTTTTACCTCTATTTCCATTATTTGGCCCTGCCCCCAGGGGCCACACCCACCGTTTATACAAAGTTGAGTCCCCTTGGGTTAGGATGCTCCAGACCAAATTTAGTCAAAATCTACTTCGCCGTTCAGGACTAGTAGCGTTTTAAAGGAAAAGTTGACGGACTGACGGACGAACGGCGGATGCTGCAGTATGGCATAAGCTCACCATGGTCCTTCGTATAATAACGTGGTGATACTCGACTAATATCATCACTGAAGCTGGCTTGAAATTAGTTGATACTTTAGTATACTATATATAGGGAAGTCTTCTGTTATCAAAAAGAAATTATCCTAGTCAAGTGTGATCAATGAAACAGGTGGATTGAGAGACAGGACTTGACAGAAATCAATATTGTCTAGGTTTGTGCTAAGTTGTCGGTAACAGTCACATCGGGGTTGATTTGGCTGACAATTTAAGTGTTAAAATAAACTTGACTATGCGTCAACAGTCCGTTCAGCATCAAACTGACCTAGCCTATGCTTACAGGTTATCAAACTGGGCTAAAGTACATAAAACAGAATGCAAATTCGTGTTTCAACTTGTACTCGGTATAACTATAAATGTTTTCTTTATTTTCTGATTTTGTTAAGTACATGTAGTACACAAGAAAACTTATCCATAAAAGTTTCAAGATCCAATTTGAACATCAGCATACAAGTTGTTCTGTTTTTGTGTAGTTCACAAATATACTTTGACGCTTGATGACCTTGATGAACTCAAGTAATCAAACTTACTGAAAGGCTGATGCTCAGAAAGGGAAACCACCAATCCTTACTGAAAACTGCAAGTCTACAAGTCAACTATTAGAGTAGTGTCAGTTTCTAACCCTGTTTTTCAGTATTTTTATTGTTAAGTCATTTGCATCATGTCCATATGTGAACAAATAATCCAATCATGTAGGAGCCTTGCTTAATGTAAAGGCCAAACAAAAAATATTTTGTGTTTCCGGTAACCGTATACCTACCCTAATTTTTTGTGACTACCCTAAATTTTTGAAGGCAATTTTCAAAGAAGCCCAATAGATCACCTATATATTATAAACCATATAAAATTAATTGTCATAAAATAAAAATTGTTGCCCACCTACTTTGTACCCACCCTATTTTTTTCCAACATGTTACAGGAAACGCACATATTTTTTTTGTCTGGCCTCAAGTAGTTATTTTTAGGAAACTGCTTTTCCCAACATTTTATTTTTTTGATAGACTTGCATGGATAATCCTGAGCCAATCCCACATGGGGTCCTGGACCGATCAAAACTGATGTTTTACATTTAAAAGGATCCTTCTATTTTTCATATTGATCATAAATAACAAGTTTCTGAAAATGGTCATAAATGCTCTCAGCTTCATGGATATTCCCTGGATATGTGACAATATGAACAGTTATCACATATTCTTTCTTCATATAAATTATTATGAAAAGGCACAACATTTGACGAACTTGCAGCTTACAGTTGAGTCGAGTTATGCAGGGGAAAATCGCACGTGTGTGTACACCAGCATTAAATATCGATGTCATTTAAACGAAAACTTGAATAAAAATATCTCAGAGAGAGCTAGGAAATATAATATAAACATGTCACTCGGTTATTTGAAACTACCAATGCAACATGTCATCAGCTGATCAGTCTCTGATGCCGGGAACAGCCGACTGAGACCATCGGACAACGATACGATAATTATAAATGTATATAAATTGAAATTCGACAACAAGTGAAGTTGCATGTTTTCTAAAATAAATGAGGCAATTATAACAAAACAAAACCCTAGTCACCTTTCTGTTGGTCCAAAGATTTTGTCAACGTAGGAATACTACCGCAGTTTTCAGAGTAAAACAGTGTGTGTATCTCTCCAAATCTCCCTCGCTCTACAATCTAGACAACCTTCCCAAAGTCGCTTTACACACTTCCGGTTTGTGATCAGTGACCTTGCAGCAGTAAATAGATGGCCTTTAAATAACCTTCGAATCAACGACCGTACATATTTTGAAATATTGTGAGCTACTCCATGCAACGATTTGAATTTATTTTCAAAGTAATACATGCAATCAATCTGTATTGTCGCTGCATGTCGACTGTATTAACTCAATATCTAGTTCAATGTGGTTAGTTTCGTAAAAAACTAAAAGGTCAATATGGCGGGAAATTTAATTTTTATTTTATTTGTGTGAAATTCCACTTATTCAAACTTCGTCTTTGTAAAGAATAGAGTAACACAATGGAAGACGAAGTAAATTTCTATTTCTCTTGTAATTATAACTCTGACATTAGGTAATAATTTTTCGAGTGAATAAAAAAGAAAAGAAAATAGAAAACTTCATCAATATCAACTCGAAACGATTTGGAGTTAGCTTTCAAGTTTTTATTTTTACTTCTGTTTTATATTATTTTTAAACGGAATTTTCCCCACAAACTCCTTAAGAATACCTACGAATAGATTAGAATTAACGTTCCAAAACGCTTTAGTATATATATCAACCGACCTCTGTGACTAATATAAGTTACCATGACAAGAAACAGGTTCACTGACACGTATTTCAATTAGTTCTGTTTCATTCTGCTGAATATAACATGATAACATGATAAGGTCCGATATACCGGTGGATCGTTTTTGTTTGTTTTTGTTACTAAAGCAAAAGTTTAGTATATTAGATTTACTGAATAAAAATTGCAGTTTCCTGGAGATCTTAAATTTCGAGTAACGGAAACAACAAGACCCTGTTCTTAACCGTTACCATCTTTCTGAAGGCAAAATTTCTTAAATAAAACCTTACACAATTCAGTTCCCGTCCCCGGTTTCCTAAATTCCTGGATTTTCTCCTGAATATCCCTGCAAATCGATCACATCGTCTGATAAAGCACTGTAGTCGAAGAATGGACATAAACTTTTGACCTCATAAAAAAACCTCCACATATTACACAGGAAAACGTGACGTTTTCGTAAACTTCAAAAAGTCAACGTCAAAACCTATGACGTCATCAACAATTAACACGGAAACGTCAAATGACGTTCGGTAAATTGCATGGGGTCCATACAGGTATATTTGTAATTCACATTTTAAGTACACAAAGACTAATTTCAACGATACATATATGGTAAATAAGATAAGGTGGAGCACTGACAATGAGACAACAACCCAACATATAAATAAAAAGAGTGGTAGCTATGTCAATGACACATCAACCCAACAACACAATAAATAGAAGTCAACATACAGTCTTTAGCTTAAAAATTAGGTAAAGCACTAATTACATGATACAGTAACACCCAGTTTAAAAAAGTTGTTAATAAAGTAACAGACTAACAAAGATTTGCCTTGTCTTTACTTAAGTTCATGAATGTTACATACATGCACATTTTGTTTATCAGCGGTTATTCAGTTCTCAGGTTTGATAAACAACAACAAATTTGAATTGGCCAGTCATAGTTGCCTTTGTCAAAAACATGATACAAGAAGTATTTGGTAAAAATCGAAATTTATATGATTTTTTTTTCTTTTTTCAGACTCCAGCAGTAAAATCCATCACAGAAACTAATCCTAATGGTCGATTTTGGCTAAAATTGGACGGAACTGATGTGAAAGAGTCCTTACAACATTCTGTAAAAAATATTTGGAATGGGGATGTTGACCTAAATGATGGGCAGCTTGAATTATTACGAGACGAATACCAATCTAGACTTGACTGGATAAACTCCATACAATCGACCACCGAAGAAGACCTAAAAACTAGTTCAGAAACAGGCTTGGTAAATTTAGAACTGGATGAGAAATTTCTTCAAGATGCTTTTAAAAAGGCCACAAATGATTTTAGAAAGAAAATGAATCAGAAAAATGCAAATTCAGAAACACTCAAAGGCCTGAACTGGGAAGTTGTGGAATGCAACACTCTGCTGCAGCAGTGTTTGGAATTTATATCCAAGCTTAAAAGTGATTCAGACTCCAGAGCTAATATTAAGTCCATAAGTCAGGAATATCCAATATATTTAAAGAACTTATTCAAGAAGAAGAGGACAGCAGCAACCCACATACTTGTTATTGCCATTTCTGATGAGCAGAGGAACATAAAGCCATATGCACTTCCAATCCAGTATTTACCCTACAAATCTCTGAGAGACCAGTATGTTAGAGACATAACAGAACCTATTAAAATTGCTTTAACACTGACTGGAATTAATGTTGTTGGTAAGTTTAAAAGATGCTAATTGCAGGAAATTGTTTTTTATGTAATATAATACATCAAGATTGGCTAGATGAACATAAAGCATATGACAAAATGTTGTGTACATAAAGTAACTTGTGTAACACAAAGAGAAAACAATCTACTGGTAAGACAAAATGTAAAACATGCATAGATTACTGTTATGCTGTTAAATCTTTTAACTGGCACATACAGCTTTTATAAGAATATTTTATGCAGGAACTGTTACTTTCTCACATTACTCATGAGCATAACAGACATATTTCCACACAGCTAGCCCTTTTGCTTTTAGTTGCAGATGACCTTCTGACATTTTAGAACTACTTTCATGGATTTCCCAAATCTAATAGCTCAATTTCAATGTTTATATATGTATATTGATGGTCATAATTTTACATTTAAAATACAATGTACAAGGACTTGTTAATTTCAACTGACAACTTTTTCAGGTCTTGTAGAGGTCGTCAGAAAAATGTCAAAATCAACACTTGAATCCATGCCTACATATGACGGTGGTATGTATACTTTTATATATAAAGCCTATTTATAATACTTTGGTACATTGTCTAACATAGTTTTGACCTTTATTTGTTTTTTGAAGATTTTTAAATTCTTTAACTAAGAAACCATATCCTTTAGATTGCCACAAATTTTATTGTTTCATGTCTGTTTTGTATGTTTTGATTGATGCTTCATGACGTAAATGAAGATATGTCCAAAAAAAATAGGGAATAAATTCTAGGAGATTTACTTCACTCAGACACTCTTGTACATATAAGAGACAGAAATAAAAAAGAACATGTCATATTACAGCATACCACATGCTCATTTACAAATAATTTTATGACAATATATCCTTTTTCATTAATACCATATTATCATATAGATTGTATTACATGCTTCATGAAATATCCCTTTTTGTGCTATAGTTTTTCTCCTGTGTATTTCCAGATGACGAAAATGGTATCCCATTCGCAGAGTTGCCAAACGAATACATACCCTCATATGTTTTATTAAACATTGTTGACATGTTAAATGATGGTCTCACTTTTGAAGACAGCATTGTTTATTTGCGTGGTAAACTGGTACCCGAGGGATACACACCTTACCCATTCCGCAGGGACACACCAGAATCCTTCATTGATCAGTTAAGAAGCCTAGTAAGCACATATGTTTATAGACATACTGTCTCCAGTTTAAAATCAGAGGGGAGAGATTTCTCACAACACCTGTATGTGCCAGAAATTGACAAGACAACGTGCAATCAACATCATGAGAGAGGCGACCATAACCATGTTCTGAAGCGCATAGCTACATCAACTAGGGAATGCCGATATCAAGAACTGGATCCGGAGCCATTTGACAAAGCATTGTTGGATCCAAGAGCAGGACTATCTCATGCCGCGCTTACTGGACAAAGACCCCAGTCTGTAGAGGATGCAGAAAAACTGTTGTCTTACCATGTAGCAGCCAGTATGCAGCGCAATGGATTTGACTGTGAGGCTGAATATGCAACAACTGTGGCTGCTTGGCATGAGGCTTCAGATGGAAGAGGAATGGGACAACTGCGACGGTGCAAGGCAAATTATCAGATGTTAAACTACATTGTAGCAGACCTTATGCCATGGTACGAGGAAAATTATGACTTCACATATATTGATGTCAACAGGTATGTGTGTTAGCTCAAGAGACGCTGGAATCAAAAAAGTTTAAAAGGCCAAATAAAAACAAATAATACCTTGGCTAAAACAATAACAGTCCACAAAACATATGTAAGGTATTGCTTGTTTTATATGCATAGATAATATACATGTATATGTATTAATTGTTTTAAATGCTTATATAACTTGTGTATTGTTTGTATTATATGCTGTCTTCTTACCTTCTTTTAATAATTTCAGACCAATGGATAATATTAGAGGGTTTACCAGAGAGACGTTTATTGAAATAACAACAAATATTGAAAGCCAGGAAGTACGACGCCTGCAAAACGCAGAATTTGGTTATCCTGAACACCCAAGGGCTGCTACAACAGATGATGTAGAATATTTTTTTAGTTTGACGAGACGACAGATTGGTGATACTTTTACTGTACCAGAATTTCAGAACCAATGGGCAAAAATAGTTAGAGAATTTTGCAAACGGTTAGACCCTGAACTGCCTTTCCATTACTGGATCAGGAATGAAAGGTTTAAGACAGAGGAATCAGGTTTCGATGACGATGTTGATAAGAAGAGACTTCACACAGTACGACACACACAGAGAGAAGATTGTTCAATATTCATCTCAGGAAGAGCCTTCCTGCCAGCAAGAAACAAACAAGAGCCTTCCTGCCAGCAAGAAACAAACAAGCATTAGACAACGTTTATTTCGAGTTGATGTTGGTTTACCCCCAGTACCCGACAACATGCAGCCGAATAGAAGTTAACTTTTTCTGTGTTGTTTTAGGTTTCAGTGGTGTAACTGTAAATACTGTTTATCAGAATTCAATGTGATGAATAATTGCTGAAATTGGACAATTATTTTATTCATTTGTAATTGTAGTGTAAAAGTAGTGCAATATTGTTTTTATTGAGACAGTTTAACAATATGTGATAAAAAATAAAAATTTCACAGTGTGAGTGGTAGCATCAACTCTTTATATGCTCTTTACAGGAAAATTAGAAATATTTCATTACCAGTAGATTTGCAACTTAAACTATTTGATTCACTTGTATCACCCATTATGATGTATGCGAGTGAGATATGGGGATTCGAAAAAGCTGGTATTGTTGAACAAACTCATTTGAAATTTTGCAAGAAGATCTTAAATCTAAGGAAAAGTACTCCAAACTATATGATATATGGAGAGCTTGGTCGTTACCCATTGGAAATAGATATTAAAACATGTAGGTGACGAATTTCATTATTTGTACCAGCTGTAATCGAAATACGTCATAAATACATTCCCAATTATTATTATATCAATCCAACTACTGTAAAAATGAAAGGTATGTTTTCTATTTGTAATTCTTCCTTGCTCAGCAAAATAAGCAAATTCTTATCTAAACTAGAAAAAATGCTAAATATATTATAATCATTTATTATGTATGCCATGTATGCTTTGCTATTCTTTTCTCTAATATGGTCTACTATATATGTAGGTATGCCAGTTTTACAATGCTAAGCTATATGTCATGTATGTATGTATGCTTTGCTATGATATGTATGCATGCTATGATTTGCTATGCTATGCAAAGTATGTTTGTATGTGTGTAGGTAGACTATTATATGTGTGTATGCTATTATATGCATGTATGTATGGTAATATATGTATGCATTTATGCTGTTATATGTATGCATGTTTACTGTTATATGTATGTATGTATGTATGCTGGTTTATGTAAGTAGGTATGTATGTTGTTATATGATTGAAAGTGTGCTGTTGTATGTATGTATGTATGTATGTATGTATGTATGTATGTATGTATGCTATTATATGTATGTTTGTATGCTATTATATATATCTATGATGTTATATGTATGTATGCTATAATATGTATGTATGATACTATATGTATGCATGCTATGCCTAGTATGTATGCATTTGCTTTTAAATACACCAATCTTTCCAGTTGGTCTGCCATTATAAAATGTATTCGAAGATTGACCTCCTGTTACACACGAAATGTGTCAAGAGTGAATAAAAAGTCTTGAATCTTAAAAATCTTGATTCGATCTTTTTGTTTGTGAGGAAAAGGTAGTAAGTAGATATTTATGCAGGCCCTGTCTTCATATTTCCAGCTGCAGAAATTATTTCAGATTTGTTGTGTAGAAATGATTAAATCTACATGAAGCCTTATTCAAACCTTATCACAGTTTTGCAGTTTACATTGATTATCTTCCATTAGGATGAGTAACCTCAAATTTCAGTAAGTTTGTTTTATCAGTAGAAACAGTCCGTTATAATTCAAAAATCTTTAATTGGTTATATCTTTTGAAACCACCGAGTCCTCAATTTTTCACAAAGAAAATTCATTTGTTGAACAGCTAGAGAGGTTATTCCTGAACATGGTAAATGATCTTTGTAAAATGCAAAATGGGAATAAAACCCTCATTGGTGTACAATACAAAATGTCCATTATGTCAGTTATTGCGCTAAATTTACAGCTGCCTGAAAGACAAAATCACTCACTGAGTTCTTAGATGACCTGTTTTTATTATGTAGCAGGTTTCTGTTCAGTACAAGAAAATAATGACACCAGTGCTCACAAACCTATTTAACCCTGCGACATTCTTCATGTGCCTATCCCAAATTAGGAGCCAGTATACCAGTTGTTGTTGGTTGCTGTCCGTCATTTTTGTTTATTATTTCTTCTTAATCAGGCTGTTGGTTTTCTCATTTGAATTGTTTTACATTACATCAGATCAGGGCTTTTTTAACTGACTATACGTTTATATATATTGGTTGTACTCATTGTTGAAGGTGGTACGGTAACCTAGAGTTGCTAATATCCACATCATTTGAACTCTGGTTGATAGTTGTCTCTTTGGCAATCATACCACATCTCCATAATTTTATATAAATAATACACTAGTACAACAGACAACACAAACAACCAATTCCAATGAAAAATTGATGCAAAAAAAATAAAAATAAAATAAGACCAAATAATAAAGAACAAAACAAAGTCAGATGAAATTCCAGATAGCCTGATTTAATAGATGCCTTCTTAAAAAAATAACCAATACTGTAACTGGAACTTGATATTAAACCATATAATTCTGTCATTTATGCATGAAATCTACATGATGAAAGACAGGACTTAATTAAGACTGCCACAGGCCATCAATGGACCCCCGAGACTGTTGCCACAAGCTTTCTTTAACATGTAGAGAGGAATGGTCCTCGCATTATACAGGGCATCCCTTTTTTTTAGTTGCAAGGTGAACATGAAATAACTTAGCAGCAATATGGGTTCGAGTAACCTAAATTTGTAGGCTGTAGTGGTTTTACAATCCTAAACCGACAGACTATAAAAATCACTTGACATGAACCTTGACAAAATGGGTTGAAAATTGAAGGAAAATTTAGTAATGGTCAAATGTTACATAATAATCTTTATTACAAATACAATAAAATAAACAATGATCAAGTCAATAGATATTTCATTGACATTCACAGAAATCATGTACATTTCATATATTATAACTCATTACAAATCAGAGTTGTACATATTGTCCTGTGCGTCTGATAGGCACTTGCCTGTTTCACATAATAACAAATGACCTCGCAACTTTCTTTCGTTAATGTTTTTAACAAGCCATGACGTAACATGCTTAACTGTTATTTTTACAATTTCTTTCTTCTTCATTGCCATAGTCACTTTAGGGATATGCTGAAGGCCAACATAACCAAGCGGATATAATTCCCCATCTATGCTTGCTGTGATGACAATTGCATTTTTGTCCTTAGGATTATCGTTTTCACTTGAAAATTTAACCACAACTTCTTTTTTCAATCTAATGGTTGAACGTACTAATTTGATATTGTTCTGGTACTCCTCACCATATGTTGAACCTTTAATTGGAATTGTAACAGTATACTGAACATTGTCCACGTTATCTGACCTGTCATCTGCCATATTTTCATCTTCTGACATACATGTAGTCTTATCTTGCTGATCTGTAGCAGTGGCAATTAAAATGTGTGTACCTCCAACACATGAACAGTTGAAATCTTGATAATTATTAACAGGCATTCCTGGAAGGTCAACTGCATTGCAATGGTCGGGTTGGGTTCTCAGCTGAGCTCCAGGGATCATTACAAAAGATCAGATTAAAACAGCCAATGACTCAGTCCCGGCAGTGAAAATTCCAGAAGCTGCATCTTTGTTGAACTGAAACAAAATATAAATGGCATATAATAGTTGCTTCAAACTTATATAAATAATATAATATGTTCCTCGCAAATACAACATGTACAATAATGAAATAATGGCTATATATGTGTCTATAGATTGTTGAAAATATTTTTTTGTTGATTTCCAGGAGGTTTCTCGGCTGCATCCCTTTCATTTAATAATAGCAAACATTGCTAGAGAAACTTTTTTATAACTAAGACACCATGACTGAATTATCTGAAAAGAAATTAATCGCCTTCAAAATTCAGAGTTTTTTATGTCATTAACTTTGATTCAGTTCTCATATGAACTATGGTCTTACAAGGGAAAATCTTATTATATGTCATGACAGTCATTGATAGACTTTTATAGCTTGCTATGCAGTATGGGTCATTGTTGAAGGCCGTCAGTGTACAGTAACTTATAGTTGCTAACTTCTTCGCCATTTGGTCTCTGGTGGAGAGTTGTCTCATTGGCAATCATACCACATCTTATTGATGCCCGATTTAGGGTATTTCAACCATGTATGTGGACACATACTCTTTTAATTTTTATACAATAAATATGCAATACATAAATAATAACAAAATACCTTAAAGTCACATGAGTTAGTGATGAGCAGTAACTGTGGTGAGGGTTGGTTGTACAACGCTGTCAAATAACTGCCGTCCGCCATCAACACTCGTCGTCTTATCAATGGTTTATCTGCTGGACTGATATGAGCAACCCGTACATTCACTTGAACAGATGGACAGTCTCTAAATGGAATAGTATATTTATCTTCTTCTATGCAGAAAAGCCATATATTTGGAGTATTTAACCAGACGCTTTTTGATGTGACCACCTCGACTTCCATTTTGTAAATGAACCGTTAACTTCCGGTGATCGATTATATAATCCGCTTCTGAGTGCCGTGTGCAAAGTGTCGCCCCTCCTCTGGGGTCCATCTTAGTAGATTGCATTATGCACCAATATGGCAGTTAAAATAATGCAAGTTTACTGAAAGAAATATAAGCTTAAATGTCAATCTCTAATCGCATGTTGTACTGGTCATGATTATAATTGATTAGGGCAACCATTAAGCGTTTACTCTACCATCACTGTTTTGTAATATAATTTCACTTCCTTCCCAGTCAGCCGTTCTACAAATTGAGTTAAAAGGGAACGCACCCGTGGGAGTGTTACGTTCATCTCCCCAGTCACCACAGAGGGGCCGTCGATTCGTGATCATAGTACAACAATAAAACCTGTCACATCTCATTTAAACTGACAGTAGGACACGATAGAATAATACAGACACTAAGTTAACCCATTCATCCCTGAAGACACATATGAACTCTTCCAATTCAAAAGTTGGAATACTTCATCATGACATTTCAGGTGTAAATGAGTTAAGCATACTTTTCTACCGTCTTGAGTACTCGACCTTATGGGGTGACAAGGTAGCTGTTACTTGGTGGAATAGTTTACCACCTGTAAGGTAGCCGCCACTTGGTGGAACAGTTTACCACCAGCAAGGTAACTGCCACTTGATGGAATAGTTTACCACCAGCAAGGTAGCCGCCACTTGGTGGAATAGTTTACCACCAGCAAGATTACTGCCACTTGGTGGAATAGTTTACCACCAGCAAGGAAACCGCCACTTGGTGGAATAGTTTACCACCAGCAAGGTAGCCGCCGCTTGGTGGAA